AATGTAAAAAGCCGCCGTTTTGACTCAAGTGCGTAAGTCTGTGACGTCAGGTTCTTGTCCTAGGCGTGACGTCACAGTTGAAACTATTGAAACTTACAACAAATCATAGGGCTGAACGGTCATAAAACATGGGTAAATAAGCAAACAAAATATGACATGGCTATATATTCACTGGATAGCACAGTACAGTATGTGATAAATAATGATTGAACGGCATTTTTTCAATTTCATGCTGGTATGACCGCACATTTTGCGTTCATACAGGTATCGACATTGAAGATTATCGTTCGTTCCTTATGTTAACATTCTAAACGTTTAGTTATTATTCACCTATATTTCCGATATTGAACTGTCTGTGTCATCAGTGCAAACGACAGTCATGGAACAGCCTAACATCACCAAAATGTTTGCTTCTAACAGTTGTCTCATGCTATTCGAGGCGGCATGAGAAGCTTCAAAATGACGCTGATCAAATTACGTTTATATCTGTATGAATTCTATTCTCTCTGGTTATGCTTATACCGGACCTTCGGCTAATTTATCACATCGTTTATACATTCGAAGTTCTCTATTGTTAATGTATAATTAATAACACCAGGTTATTCATCACATTATTTAGACATTAGAAGTCCCCTATGATTACTATAATATCCGGTATATTGTTTATGTATTCAAGATATTCCATTGTACGCTTGCCACAATGTTTATGCATTGAAATGACCTATAATTATGTAAATATAACGTCTGGTTAAGGATCCACGCCTCTTGTTAGGATATTTCTAAACATTTTCTTCGGGTTGGTTAGTATTGATTATGAAAAGGTTTTATTGCATAACCAATAAGAGTTTCTATGTGACGTTTCGATGACTAGTACGGTAAGCAAGAGCAGAATCACATTGCTATAGCAATGATAACATATGCATATCCGAAATCGGCCCTAGAACGGGTACAAGAAAAGGCCAATCAAGAGTAAGGACAAAACCAAAGGTCAAGTGTTCAGCCCGTATATATAAGCCATATCAGAAACCATCCAGAGGACATATCATGGTCATGGCATAGCAACAGCCATGAAGCCCCACAAGACGCTTCGTAATATCCTAGTACACTCTTAGGATAAAACACCTAAAGAAAATGTCGCAGAATGCATATACAAATCGGATGCAAAAACTGCGACGAATCGCATATTGGAGAGACGCGATGGCGATTTTGGGTCCGCTTTGGTGATCACCGGAAAGATATGGAAACCCTAGAAGGTAAGAAATTCACCAGATCAAAAAGGAAGTAATCGGAGACCCAGATAAATAAATCGGCAATCACAGACCATGCCACACAGAAAAATCATGATTGACTGGGATAACTCCAAAGTATTGGAAAGAGCGAGCAATCTGTTCAAGAGACAGATAAAGGAAGCCATCTGGATACGCCGTAGTGGGCACGTTCTAAATCGAGATGAGGAGACTCATAGACTCTCGCACATCTATGACCAAGTATTGAACAAAGCGTAGCTGAATCGAGTCATTTCGGTACACATATAACAATTATTGTCCAAACGCTTACAGAGTAGCCGAATCATTTGTCTGATGAATTTGACAGTGTACATACCGTTCTAGTCATCGAAACGTCACATAGAAACTCGTATTGGTTATGTAAAAAGAACTTTTCATGATCCACTTCCCCTTGCCAAAATAATATATCTTTGAACTGGAAAAATCTTTTACCGACTTGAAAATACATTTAATAGCTTGCGAAACTCTTTATAAATAGGGTAAAAAGTATATTAACCTACAATAAACAACAGTGATCTTTTAGCAAAATTGCAACGGTGCCTGACCACGATTCGAACTGTGGACCTTCAATGTAAATACGATCGCTCTACCAAACTGAATTGTTGGATCAGCGATACTTCTCTGGTCCAGGCCAACTACGTATACATTTTGATTTTGATAATTATAAATATCTTTCCTTATTTTCATTTATGTATGTATGTTGTTATATATGTTTATGAAATTGCATTTCATTATTTTGCCTGATTACTTTGTTACATTGATTTTGTTCATTAAAAAATTACTATACCAGGCTGCATGTCATGAAATTTTGTATAATTTATAATTTAATCAAATGCGGATCCTTTTCACAGTTAACACGATTTCCTTTTAGGTAACCCCCATCACCTATCCCCGCCCCTACCCCACCCCACCCCCTTCCTTCTCCACCCTCTCCATCTCCCGTCCCCCAAAACATATTTGTACACTATATGTACAAAAAATCACAAAATATCCCTGCGCAAGGCTCATCACTCATTGTGTCCTGCTTAGAATACAAACTTGAAAACTGTCAAAACCACTAGAATAGATATTGTTGAACAATTCTATGTAAAGAAAACTGTACATATCTGTCATAGATCAGACAGGAAACATTATTTGATAACTGACCTGAAATGTCCGTATGCACTACATTCTACAGGAAGTGTGGTCTGAGGCCATGTACCCATTTCAGCTTATTTTAGAGATTTTTTCGCGTTATTATGATATCGCGCTAAATTAAGATTTTATGCATGCATATTTTTTTTTGCACGAAATTAATCATAGTACTTATACATGTAAGTAGGAATGCGATAATAAAAATAATATTAATTCGAGGTTCTTATATACTCCTTTATCACAACCTAATTCGTAGGTCGTCTCAAAGCGGTTCACAAAATTTTTATCCGTGGTTATAGGGCCTTTGCAACCAGCCAATACATTTCTCAACTCCCTGGGGAGCATACAGCCGGAGCTGTCGTTTCGGCGCTAACAGCTAGCATTCAACAATTCTAGCACTGCCCAACCATGTACTCATTTACAGCTAAGTAGACTGGAACAAGTGGAGTAAAGTGTCTTGCTCAAAGATACTACACAGTGCCGTGACGTGACTCGAACCCGAAACCATTCGGTCACGAGCCCGGCGTCCTACTACTAGACTACCGTGCCTCCTCGATAATGCACTAAAGTTTGAGTCACTTAAAATGCTATTTGTACAGGTCTGTTTATAATCACTGTAGTCTTTGATGAAACTGTATTGTATGCGATGCTTACATGGTTTTACCGAACTGGCTAAATCCTTTCCGCAGGAGATCTTAATACAATCTAATTAGGATAATGACCATATTCGGTACGTCTAATGCATCTCCTAGACGGATCAATTTGTTTCATTCATTTTTTTTTCATGATTTTTTTACGCTGCTTTAACAGAGTCAGGTCAGGTTGTAAACGTATTTTGTTGAAAGGAATGACCAAAATAACGTTCCAGAAGTCAGCTGGAATATTTATATGGCTTTCTTTAAAATCCTAATCGTACAAGCACGGACTTAGATAGCTAATCTAATTCCGTAATCCAAGTGATCAAAATTATTAGAGTTAAAAAAAAATCTTTCTTAATAATTCCATTTTCTAGAGACGGGGGCCAGGAGCGTACGTGAGCCCAACCCCTGGAGTATCGAGGATGTGGAATGCATTACTCCAATTATTTTTTTACAAATCCAGTTGTTCAGTTCTGTATTTGCGCACGTTTTACAATAAATAGATTACAGCCAACTCGATTCAGAGCCCCAAAAAACAAACTGAACCTCGTTCAATATCGATCTAACTTTATAACCTATTTTTACATTGAACTGTCGTTTTCGTTATCAAGGCGGAAAAAATGAGCATCGACACGTTTTCACCTCACAACCAGGGAGGCAATTCTCTTTTAATTTGATATTGTCAGTATTAAGATTGTTATTGCTGTGGACCTCGGTTCACAGTATTAGTCTCTTAGACTTGCTATATCACTCTGCAGGTTATCAGACGAGGCGACTAACGTGGGAACTATTGCAGAATCTGGTGTTTTATCTATGACGTTCACTAAGGATTCTTTGAAGAAACCGAACTAGTTCCGTTGTCCCTTTACAACACTGAGAACCTCTATTTTTCTTTAGCTCATCTTCTCTTTTTTTATCAGTGTGTCTCTAGACCTGCTCTATCCTTCTGTAGTGCGTCGTACGAGGCGACTGATGTGGGACCTTTTGCAGAATCGTGGATTTCACTGAAAAAACATTGAAGAAATCGAGTTATGTTGCCCCCTTCGCAACTCTCGGAACTTTATTTTTGTTTCTTTCTATCTCATCTAATCTTTCTTTCATCAGTGTGTCTCTAGACTTGCTACATCCTTCTGTATTTTATCATACGAGGTGACTAATGTGGGACTTATTGGAGAATCGGGGGTTTCATCTCTGTCTTTCGCTAAGGACACATTGGTAAAAAAACACCTTTTTTTATATCATGGTCTCTTTCTTTTGATCTTGTGTCTCTATGTATCCTCCCTGATATGACCTTGGCCCACTTGTAGAAAACATCTCAAAGATAAGGAAAATCTCAAGCAATGTATTGTCTATGGGAAATCTTGAGGAAATCTCAAGAATTGAGATGTTTAATACAAGTGGATCCTTGGGTGTTAAGAGGACGTCATTCCTCAAGAACAAAAAAAACAGAAAAAAAAATTGTTCTGCATGAATCTAAATACAAGACAACATTGTATAGCCGAGGCTAATCTACATCACTGGTTTAATGTTTAACGCTTATCCCACACATTGAGCTTTACATTTCATTGGGCGTTGATAGAACTGTAGTTTGGGATTTTTCTACATGTTGAGGCACAGACAGACAAGAAAATGCAATCAAAATTGATCTTCTGTTGCACTGATAGCAACATACGTTTTTTGCTTCCCCTTTTTTATTACTTATGTTTGCAAACGTCTTATCTGCTAATATTTTTTCTTTTAGCCATGGTGTTAAATCACTATATATATACTGCCACTGTTTTAGGGAAAAGACAATTTTTTTTAATTCAAATTGTTCCATTCAGCCATTCGCTCCACAATCAAGTCAATTTTTCTAGATAAAACATCATGAAATATTCATCATGTACCGTAATTAAAAATAACATTTCCCTATGAACTAAAAAAAAAACCCAAAAAAACCCAGTTAAATGATTTTATATCATATTTATTTTAATTGATTAACAGTAGTATTGGACAAAAGTTAAGAAATTAAAGAATTATATCACAGAAAAATCAACATCACAGATTATGGACAAAGCGTAGACATTTAAATGCATCACAACGCATATGCTGGTAACCACAGGGACTTGCAAATTTGTTACACAGTATTGGACTAAAACTGATGTGATACAGAGTAACATTGGACATGCTGAAGATTTATATCGACGCTTGGTGGAAAGGCAATTAATTCCTTAATGTTGTTTTAGCTAAGTGTTGATTTAAACCTTCGACACACTAAATATCACCCACTCAATATCATGATAGGTCCAAAAATACTTTCTGTAACAAATTCTCAGGTCCCTGTGCTATAGTAACTACATAACTAGCCAAGTGTCGTTTACTGATGACTCAGGCTCTCATCACCCTCAATAATAAAGACTTGAATCACAGAGAATAAGGACTATTGTAAATAAAAATAAAACACACAGCCTCCTCCTAAAATTGATGTGAAACTTTACATATATGTAAATAGCATTCAGTAGTGCTCAGTGCTTTAGATTTGGCAGAATGTATTTTGACAGAACTCGTATAATGAGAGCATAGTAAATATAAAGAAATATAAATTTTTGACATCTAATTCAAATATTTAACTCACATACAGTAAGCACTGTTATAGGAGCTATTGAATAATATACATGTGCAGTTTGAAAACATAAATCAAGTCGATCTTGTGGATTACCTCCCCTTTGTATTGTCTATGTACACATGTTGTAATGGACACGGGGGCTAGGTACAACTTAAATATTACTCATATGATGAAACGGTGCTGTTCCTATAATTTAATATTTATAATAATCACGTGTCTTTTCCTTGTGGTGCACAAAATGTCAAAAAAACATACAAAGTCACAATGTATGATTTCTGTGACCTATTAAATTAGAACACACACACAAATACATGATATAAAAATATGATTAATTTGATTAAAATCAAACATGGTAAGTTAATGTTCCACAGTGTTCCACATATACTAGAGGACCAAGGTTCAGTGGTACCTTCTTAACCCTTTCACCACTGCAGACCATAATGGACTCATCCAGATCAAAGCATGATAGAGTCCACTAAAGTTGCATAGGGGTGAAAGGGTTAACTTACCACTGAAATACATAAAGATTGATGAAGAGCTTTATCATGGTGCTAATAGCTTGACAAATTTCATTGATGCATTGAAATGTGTGTACCATAATAAGCATATGGAATATAATGATTATTTTCAAATTTTTGTGTGGCAAATTTATCTTTTTGCAATAAGAAAGGCACTTTTAAAACAAGTATTCTGCAAAAGTCTTCTTTTTTTGACAGTGCATAATTTTTACAGATTGGAAGGATAGATATAGTGAGATCTCTTTCAGGCCTTAGTTGCCAATTCAAAAGCAAAGTTTGAAATAACCGAGTACGTCGTTAAAAAATAATGATCTCTGTTAATTTTTTTTTTTTTAAATGGATTCGAACTTGAGTAAATGACATTGTGATCTGAGTTTATCCTGTCTCAGCCAACTAGCTGATAAATATAAGTCACTGAAACCTGAAAACCATACAAAGGTTACTTAGCATAATAAAAACACAGAAATAATGAAAGACATTGTGTATATAAAACAAAGGACAAATATAAAGAGATGATTTATCCTCGAATACTAAAATTCATGGAAAACATTTTAAGAACCTTCATTCTCAGAAAATACATATCCATCAGATAATTAAACAGTAAAATGCCTCATCAACTCATTCCCCCCTTCAGAGACATTTGAACTCTTCCAATTCAAATGTTGGAATAGTTCATTTTGAAATTTCTGGGGCGAATTAGTTATAAGGTACAAAACTTATTTGGTTTAAACACATTTATAAATATCCCATTAGGTCAGTATATTTATTTGATATTTCTGTTTTTGATTAAAAATTGGTCAAATGGACTACAATATATTGTACTTGTTTAATTTTACATCCACTTTGATAAAAAATATATACTGTAAGCATACAAATCTTGGCACACTCATATTTTAGAGCATTATTAGATTTAAACAGATTGGCACTTTGATGAATTGGCGCATCCACAAAATATGCCATAAAAAACAATATACAGGGATTTTTAATTAGCACAATGTTTAACTCATTCACCCTTACATATTTACACTGGACTTGCCCAGTCTGTGATTGGGTAAGGTTCAAATGTGACTTTAGGGGTGAATGGGTTAAAGCCTGAATATTGCTAAAATAAGACTATCGCTATAATTTGTATGTTTACAGTACTAAAATGACCCTTATCACCATAATACTGAACTGTATATAAGTTTAAAATACTATAACTAATTGTATATAGCTATGATTAATTCATTCACCCCTGAAATGTCATAATGGACTATTCCAACCATTGGATTGGAAGAGTTCAAGTGTGTCTTCAGGGGTGAATGAGTTCATGTATCAAATATGAAAAAATAAACTCTTTAAATAAAACAATATAAAGATTTATACAACAAAGCCATATGAAATCTTTTGGTGACAAAATTAGCTTACAAACATTGTTAAATACAGTACATGATTAGTGAGTATGGCTACCCCTCATTTTTGTAATGCAAGGGTTCCTTTCCAGATGCAAACATCTTCTCTGCAACATAGGAATATGTAACGATAGAATTGAAGGCTTGTGAAGCTACTGACCAATCTAATACAAATGATATCTTCACATCGCTCCCGTTTACGTGATCAATCAGTAAATTGGAGATCTAATTTTAATTTTATTGAAAACTGAGTAACTGCCAGGTTGATACCTGTCCTTTGAAACTTACACCGGGGTGATAGCCAGATTCAAAGCTTATCGATTTGTTGGATCAAACAAGTCTACTGGTATCATCCACGTTGTGGCACATCCAGAGCCTTGAATTTGGCCATGACATAAAATGCTTAACACTTTCACCACTGTAGACCATAATGGACTCTTCCTAATTAATGCATGGTAGAGTTCACTCAAGTTACATAGGGTTGAAAGGGTTAAGGGAGCAGAGAAGATATATGTATCAGGAACCCTTGTACATGTATTCCAAAAACAGGTTAAGGTAGTTAAATAAAGTTTACAATAAACATATATATATATAACACGCCCAGAGCCTTATAAAATATTTAATAAATCCCATTTTCCAAATTCCCCAAAACAATATTACATTATTTAGTTACTTTGGGCAATAATTAGTAGATTCATTAATTCTATAATCTATTTTCGAAACTATTAACTATTAATTGCACAAGATATAAATACTGTATTCTTTCTTCAGCTAGCCACTCTTTAATAAATGCTCATAAAATCACTTGGCAAATTCATAATTAAAACAAATCATATTTAAAGACAATATAAAACTGTTGACTTCTTAGAAAAAAATCTGAAAGAAAAACATCCTATTTTTGTATAAATAGAAAAAAAAAAACACAGTAAAGAAATAAATCGAGCACTCACCAAATATGGGCTTATCAAAATATCATATTTTATCTACTGCCTTATGTCTGAGAATACTTGCTCACTCAGATCTTGAAAGTCAGTAAGTCAAATTTTGAAAAAAAATAATGCAAAATTTGTGAAATTGAAAAAAAAATAGAAATAAAAATAATCTGCACAACATCCTAATTTCACAAGCCATGTTTGGTCTATGACTTTAGTCTGAACCTGATCAGAATGAAGCTTTCAAGGATTATGGTCATAATTTTTAATAATTTCATATTTTACGATAAATAATGCAATAAGGGTAGGGTCTGTAAAAAAAAATAAAAAAATTCTAGTACATGTACATCTTTTAGGATCCCTGTACCTGTAAAATACTTTGACTGTAACTCGGAAACATTTTTACCTGCATGATAACAGTGGTAATAAAGAAATACATCCGTCTCAATTGGCACAAAAATTAAAACTGCTCTATGTTAATATTCAGCCAAAATATTCACATTTATGTAAACTGAATATGTATTTGTATGAATAAAAAACAAATTGATGGGCCGGTGTCAAGCCTGCTGGCTAGTTATTTCTAACATGCACCTTAGAAATGAACTTGAAAATAATATTTTTGTGATATGGACTCTTAAATATATTTTCAATTTGCACAGCAATGCTTACAGAGAAAACATTTCACCGACCCTGTACAAAGTTCCATTTCCTTTGGGATGATAATGACATGCTGTGCATTTGGAATCGGTTCTAGGATACATATATTTAAAAGCATTCAAAGACATACTTTTTTTTTCACTCAAAAGATTCTCTTTAGCCTATTCACAAGAATCCTAGCTGAAGACATTTCAGATGATTTGATGAAATTACATGATGACAGTTCTAAATTGAAATATTGATATATATTAAGAAAAAGTGATTTACTCATTATAGTATCGGTAAAGAACAGCAGTATTTTATACTGATATTTCCAGAGGCAGTTACTAGAAAAGGGAGATAACTTTTCTCTCTCTTGTCAGAAAATTTTCATTATCTGTTCAGACTTGAGATAACAAGTTTTGTGATGTTTCTTTTAACTTTTATACTCTTTACTTTAAGATGAATTATTGATATAGAAATAATTAATTTATTCATGAAACCTCCAGTACAGAACAGCAGCATTTTATACTGACATTTCCAGAGGCAGTTTCTAGTAAAGGGAGACAACTTTGTTTTTCCCATCAGAAAATTTTCAGCATCTAATCTGCATGAGGTAACAAGTTTGCGATGTTTCTTTTCACTTTTATACTCTTTACCTAATAAAATGTGAAACACAATCTTATCGAGTATTAAAGCACGATTTACTACAAATGTATTCTAAAATGTTGTTTCCAGACGAAAAATTTGTTAAATTTTGAAAGTTTTCTGTTTCTTGTGTCAAGGTTTGAGTGTAGAGAAACACGAAATGACACATTTTGAAGGACTGTCACATGAAGTTATTCAGTCACAGACTAAAAACCCTTTATTTAGTGTGAGGCTATCGCCTTGGCCCGCTGTTGTCTCAGAATTTCCTGCTGAGCCAGAAAAATCTGAGCGCGGCATGCTTTAACCTTAGGCTTCTGGAATGTGTCCCTGTAGACAGTATCAAATACAATGTCACCGTCCTGACTGACAGCTTTGTGCTCGGGACGGAAGTCCTTAGTTTCCACTATGCCCTTGGGGACAAAAGAATCCCTGGTCACGCTAATGCCTCCAAATTTGGAGACTGGTTGGACATTTAAATTCTCGTGAAAATCTCCGTAACGGACACGTTTCTGCGTTCCCCAGTTCTTCAGGAATTCTTTGCTCGTGGTCTGGTCATCAAACCGTTGGCTACTCTGGACGTAGTTCGTTCCCGGGGCAGATGCTCGTCGTAGGAAGTTCATCGGGATGTCAATGGGGACAAAATCTTTCTGTAAAGGAGATGAATTTAACATACATTAAGAAATTCATCAGAACAGATTTTTTTCAGTGGGAAATGATTTTGAGATTTAGAAATGGTTGGCGATCCTCAATTTAGTTGTTGTTTTTAAAGTTTTATTCAATATCTCCAAGTGTACTTCGAATCATGGTTTTCACTTGTTAATTTTTTTTTTTACTCTAGCTAAGCTCCAATCAGACCCGTGAGTCACTCTCATTTTCTGACCGTCTTTCTCTTATTCTAGGCTGAGTCTGATATTTACCTCTCTACTCTTCTCTCTAACTTTATATTCTCTAACAAATAACAGCAATTTCTTTTATATCTCTGATCTCTAGATTTCTCTTAATATATATCTATCACTATTGATTCTATGAAATGTCCCCTTTGGCACCACCTGACCTTGACCTGCATTTTTTTTTATTATTTTGCAGAATGGGTGCCAGTCTGTAAGGATTGCTATTAGCTCTATCCCAAGGCTATAGGACACGCAAAAATTATAACAAGCCATTCAGATTGATATAATATGTCTCACCTGTTCCCCTTTGACCATCAATGCACATATTGTTGAAATAAATTCAATGTAGACGGCATTTGAAATGAAACTAACTTAAACCAAGAGCTTAATGTTGATGGAGATGCTGACAAAGTCAATGGACCGTGAAAAGTAGACTGAACAAGCGGAGTAAAGTATGTTGCTCAAAGATGCAACACAGTTCCGTGACTCGAACACCCAACCTTTAGGTCACGAGCCCGGCGTCCTACCACCAGACTACCGTGCCTCAATGCTGAAATTATATTGAGTTAGTACTACTGACTGAATACAGGATTTATTAAAGCATTCACCCCTGAAATTTTATAATGAACTATTCCAACCTTTGAATTGAAAGAGTCCAAATGTGTCTTTAGAGGTAAATGAGTTATTTTAGACTCAATTTAGAGATTTTGGACAGATATGTGATATTACCTTGTGTGAAGTTTCTGTAGTAAATTTCTCTGTAGGTGGGATGTACTCATCAGAATCAAACCTGCAGGGTTTTACCATCGGGTTCTGAACGACATCGTGTCCTTTGTAGATCGTCCTCTGTTCTGTATCAAATGCCCTCCTGTGGAAAACAGCACCACCAAGATGTTTAAAGGTTTTAAAAAGAAAATATCACTATTTTACTTAAAGGTAACAAAATTTAACAAGAGGCCCAATGGGCCTGCATCGCTCACCTGGTATTAATCTCACACTTGTAACCTTAAAAGTGGACTAAAATAAAGCTACAGGCAAAAATTCAAAAGATTTAAACAAATTCAACCCCTGTGACTTTGGAAGTTAACAAAGTCATTATGTTGAACAAACTTTAGACTTTAGACCTAGACCTTTTGTTTAATGAGATTAGGTCATTGAGAGGTTGACAGCCGTTCATCCAAGCATGCTACTGGCCAAATACCAATATTTTGGCTTTTTGGTTATTTAGAAGAAGTTGTTAAAAGGTTGAATACATTTCTGACTCCTGTGATCTTAAAAATTAAGCCAATGTCATTCATTTGAACAAAGTTGGTAGCCCTTCATGCCAAGCTACTGGCCAAATATCACCCTGGGCCTTTCGGTTATTGAGAAGAAGTCGTTTGAAATTTTTTAAACATATTTGAATATAAGTCAACATCATTCATTTTAACAAACTTGGTAGCCCTTCCATCCAAGCATGCTACTGGCCAAATACTTGGCTTCTTGTGCTTCTCACTTGGCCCTTCCGGCCAGCTGGTGAGCTAAAAATGAAATAATTATTTTTCTGCCAATAAAATACTTCAAATCCAGTTACACCATCTTGAAATATTTTACAGTATTAAAATTGAAATGGAGTTGCAGATCCAATTGTAAGGAAATACAAATAAAATATTATATTATATATTCATACTGAAAAATGACAAATTGAATTGTTTCTGATACAATCACTACTAATAAAGACTAGATATGTGCAGGTTTTTTGTAAAATGATATAATAATGTAATTTGACTCAGAATCCACAGACTAACAGGTACATGTGTTAGGGTTGTATATATAGGTTTATCTAGCACAACCAGTAATATGTTTGTGTGACATTTGGATGACCAGTACATACTATATATACACTATCATCTTCATCAGAAAAACCAGAAGATTTTGAGATGTTTGGATAACAGATTTTTCTGATGAAGTTGACAGAGTACATATTGTGCTTCTCATTGAAACATATCACACATAACATTGCACCAGTTGTGTTACATAAACCTGCAGACAATTGCACCGCTTGTGTTACATGAACCTGTCTACAATTTCACCGGTTGTGTTACATAAACCTGAATACAAATTTATATTTACCAACCTGAAGAAAATGTTTAGAAACATGCGAATATCTACTGGTACATTGATAGCAACTAGTGATATAAAAAAAGTAGCACTATTGCCATATTTCACAATATGTAGTGTAAACAACATAACAAAACTTATATAATATAATATATACTTTGAACAGACACTGTAAGCTTCTATTATATAATATATACTTTGAACAGACACTGTAAGCTTCTATTATATAATATATACTTTGAACAGACACTGTAAGCTTCTATTATATAATATATACTTTGAACAGACACTGTAAGCTTCTATTATATAATATATACTTTGAACAGACACTGTAAGCTTCTATTATATAATATATACTTTGAACAGACACTGTAAGCTTCTATTATATAATATATACTTTGAACAGACACTGTAAGCTTCTATTATATAATATATACTTTGAACAGACACTGTAAGCTTCTATTATATAATATATACTTTGAACAGACACTGTAAGCTTCTATTATATAATATATACTTTGAACAGACACTGTAAGCTTCTNTCTAGGCCTTGGTTATTCATAGGAAGTGGTTTAAAGATTTTTAACGTAGTTGGCCCCTGTGGCCTTGAATAGAAGTCAACATCATTCAATTTAACAAACTTGGTAGCACTTCATGCCATACTATGCTACTGGTCAAATACCATCACCCTTGGCCTTTTGGTTATTCAGAAGAACTTGTTTAAAGTGAAAAGTTGACACTGGACAGAGGACGGACCAAGGCATAAGCTCATTTGGCCCTTCCAGCCAGGTGAGCAAAAAGGAAATAATTATTTTTCTTCAAATCCAGTTACACCATTGTGAAATATTTTACAGTATTAAAATGGAAATGGTGATACAATCACTGCTAAAACAGACTAAATATGTGCAGATTTTTTGTAAAATGATATAATCATGTAATTTGACTCAGAATCCACAGACTAACAGGTACATGTGTTAGGGTTGTATATATAGGTTTATCTAGCACAACCAGTAATATGTTTGTGTGACATTTGGATGACCAGTACATACGATATATACACTATCATCTTCATCAGAAAAACCAGAAGATTTTGAGATGTTTGGACAAAAGAGTTTTCTGATGAAGGTGACAGAGTACATATTGTGCTACACACAACATTGCACCGGTTGTGTTACATAAACCTGTATACAATTTCACAGGTTGTGTTACATAAACCTGCATACAATTGCACCGGTTGTGTTACATAAACCTGTATACAATTTCACAGGTTGTGTTACATAAACCTGTATACAATTGCACCGGTTGTGTTACATAAACCTGTATACAATTTCACAGGTTGTGTTACATAAACCTGTATACAATTTCACCGGTTGTGTTGCATAAACCTGTATACAATTTCACCGGTTGTGCTACATAAACCTGAATACAAATTTATACTTACCAACCTGAAGAAAATGTTTAGAAACATGCGAATATCTACTGGTACATTTATAGCAACTAGTGATATAAAAAAGTAGCACTATTGCCATATTTCATAATATGTAGTGTAAACAACATAATAAAACTTATATAATATATACTTTGAACAGACACTGTAAGCTTCTGTTATATAAACTTTATCTATTTTACAACAATTATAAAACAGGTTATCAATACAAGCTAATCTATTGATAATGTTTGAAGCATAGCCATTCTATCAGTGTCTTTTCTACCTAAATTTCACAACAGTCTACACAGGCAAATTTTGTTCACGTGAATCTCACATGAAATTCTTTGAATTAAGATTTCATGTGAATTTCAACAAAATTTGCCCATGTACTCGTAAATGAATTGAGAAAATAAGCCTGATTTTAATTAAAATTTGGAAGAAATTCCTATTTTTTTTTTTAATTTGGGAAAATAAAGGTGTTTTTTTTGCGAGAGGAAGTAGCCTGTATTCTGCTATTTAACCAAGAAACAATCACTATCTATTTACCAAATTTGCTGTAGTAAAGACAAAATGCTCTTTAACAATTGAAAGGAAACTAAATTAAAAATATCAGAAACAGAACGAAAAGAGAATTGTTTTTTGCATGATTTTTTATATTTTTTTATATTTGTTTTTGCATAATGATTCCAAAAATATCATTGCAATACCCGGTATGGTTTAAACAAATCAGTTATAACAATAATACAGCAGGATGCTAAATGCAGCAAATATGGTATATTAATTCAATACAAACATGCTTTAGATAAACTGACGAGGTCTCGGCCAATGGGTTTTTCAAAGTCTTTCTATTTACAAGTCATAAAAAAGTAAATTTTCAACATATATCTCAGAAATATCTGAAAATTAACAAAACACTAATGCAGATAATCATTTTTAATTCCTGTATATGTTGTTAATTTCGTCTTTAATATCAATTAAAACTTATTATTGAAAATATTGAACGAACCCGGTAACACAATTTCCGAAATGAAAAAAAAAAAAATACATTTAAATGTTGAAGTTTTTTTCTAAATTTCAATTTTAAAGTTTTAAAATAGAAAGTTCTTACCGACACACTATTCTTCTATTGTGTTTAATCCTTAAAACCCTTGTTGGCCATACTTACTTGTTGTCAAACCTGAGATCAATAGTCGAAGGTGCAGGACATGCAGGTCGCATGCGAGTGGGCATTCCGTTCGAATATCCTGGGAAGTCGGACATGGATTGGGTTTGCTTTTGGAACGTCCCTAATTTTTTAGATATTTCAATTTTTGGCTTTTGATAGAAGGCATCAGCCCTGTGGTGGCCGTCAATTTTCTTGTAGGTATCGTTGTGGGTGGTATCCATGAAATGTTCCCCTAAAAAGGCACAACGTAAGTTCCCTCCTTAATTTAAATGATTCTGTTAATTTTTTGTTTCATTTCTTCAAATTTTCCATTAAGGTACCCTGTCCCACTGCAGTTTTTTTCTTTCTATACACAGTAATCTCCCCTTAAGTTCCGTTTTGATATAACTGTAGCACAGTTTGGCAAGGCCACTAATTAATACGAAGACCAGGCAGCTCAATCGGTTACAGCGATAGTGTAACAATCTGAAGTTGAAGATTAAAATTGCAGTCTAGCACCGTTGATTTTTGGCACTCAGACGTTGATGTATATTTTAGAATGTTTATTTCTGCTTTTTTTTCAGTTAAAGACTGCATCAGGATCATAAAACTATGAAACCTGATCTGTCTCAATAGCTCTATATATTAGATCTGAATTTGTTTGGACGTCTGGAACATTTTAACTCATTCACCCCTGAAGACACATCTGACCTCTTCCAATTCAATGGTTGGAATTTCATCTTTGCGTATTGCAGAGTTATCTTAAATTCTCTTGTAAGCAGGTATTGATTGTTACGTCATTGTTTTGTGTGAGTCGTTTTCCCAAAAACTGATGACGTTACTCTCACAAACTAATGACGTAACAATCAATACCTGCTCACAAGAGCAGATAACTCGAGCTCTGCAATACGAAAAGACGGAATAGCTCATTATGAAATTACAGGGATAAAATAGTTAAACTGAAATTGATTTAATTGCCTTTAACTCATTCACCCCTGAAGACACGTTTGAACTCTTCCAATTCAAGAGTTGGAATAGATCATTATGACACTTCAGGGGTGAATGAGTTAAAGCTTGTATTGTGTGTGGCCAATTAAGGACCATGTGATCAGTGGCGGTAGCTATGGCTCTAAAACCGTTGTCAAGGAAGACATGGAACACTACAGGTGTTTTACGTACTAATCTGATGGAGCAGCATGCAAATGTGTAATACAAAGCATTCAGTGAAGCGTGTTCATCCATTGTGTGTATATATATACATGTATATATCAATACATCAACAATATACATTACAACATACATAAACATTTTTTTTTCAATGTGTGATAAAGTTACAAATAAGATAAATCTGAATTTGATTCGCAGTAGTCATTAAAGTACTTAATAAATTATTCTATAAAGCATTATATATGATATCATTATATTATACAAAGCATTCTGTAAAATACTCCATGACATATACTTTTACATATTCTATAAAGTGTTATATATAATATCATTATATTATATACGAAATATTACGAAGCAATCTGTAAAATACTCCATGAAGTAAACTTTTACATATTCTATAAAGCATTATACATAATATCATTATATTATACGAAGCATTCTGTAAAATACTCCATGACATATACTTTTACATATTCTATAAAGTGTTATGTAAATTATTCTATAGAGTATTCTATAAATTTAGTGTTTTGTAAAATATTATACCAAGTATTCTATGAATTATATTCTAAAGTATATTGTATTCTATAAAAAGTAACTGGAAAGTATTCTATAAAGTAATCTATAAAATATTTCATAAAATATTCTGTAAAAAAATCTCTAAAACACTCTGTTTAGTATTTCATAAAGAATTCTATTCTATGAGTTAATTTGTAAAGTATTTTGTATTCTAAAATATTTTTGTTTAATGTGTCTGTAAAGTAATTTAAAGAATATTCTATAAAGTAATCTGTAAAGTATTTTATAAAATAATTTATAAAGTATTCTGTATAGTGACTTATTACTTACCTTCCATTGTAATGTTAGCCTTGTCCAGTCTGACAGCATCCGGTCTTTGCATGAATTCTCCTTTGAAAACTGCCATTGTTTCGCTCTTGTTCTTGTTCCGGGGTTGGCTCTTAGTGTTGGGGAACAATATCGATCCTATAACGTTAAATATTCCAGATTAAACAATCATTTTCTTTAACTCATTCACCCCTGAAATTTCACAATGAACTATTCCAACCTTTGAATTCGAAGAGTTCAAATATGTCTTCAGTGGTGAATGAGTTAATGACATATTTGTGTCCACACAATTAAATATGGCTTTTCCTTGTCTTGTACTTTAAGTTGAATGTTTGCGGTTCAAATAACCTTAGGATGGGCAGTTGGGAGGCGCAATGGAAGGGGCACTTGAATTGCCTTTCACCAAGGCGGCAGGGGTTCGATTCTGAGATTGAACTTGAACAGGTATGGGGTCACTTGCCCAACCACATGGGTTTTCTCCGGGTATTCCAGTTTCTTCCCACATTAAGACCCATGGGCGCTAACATTCGGGGAAGCAAGATTGAATAATATAAGTTTGTAAAAACTTGTTTCATAACCGTTGTTATATAAATAAAATTTATATATAATGTATAGCTAGAATTTCAGTGCCTTTAAACTTTGGAGTTACAAAACTTTTATAGATGTTTTTTTCCATATATTTGTATCAAACCTGACATAAAACATTTGTAAAAATGCATCCCAATAGATCTGGAAAAGTGGAAACGAATATGAAATATTGCCAGGAGTAACAATAATTTTGTGCAGAACAATTCATTAATAAGATTTAAAAACAAAATTACCAGTGAAGCTAGGTAGCTCTCCAAACGTGATCGTTGGTTGTCGCACCCATTTCTTAAAATGGTCCTTGTTAGTTGTGTTGTCGTCAAATTTCGCTGAGGAGCTCACATAATTACCAACCGGTTCCATCCCTCGGAATTCCTTAGGAAGCGGTTTATTGATGAACTCAGAAGTGTACGAGGTTTGTATCTCCATAGGGACATCTTGCGCCTCATAGTTGGTTTCCTAAAATAGTGTACGACTCATTTAGTATACCAGCTAGGCTTAAATGAAAAAGTGTTCCAGCTAAGATTTGAAAAGGGCAGGGCACTGACAAGAAAGAGGACACTTTTTATCATGCAATTCGTTCTCTAAAGGACACGTCAGAGGTTTTTGTTGCAAGCAAGTTGATAGTTACTCAATAAAGTTCCAAAGTATATCTAGCCATATTGTTTATTAATATTTCACTTAATGTATTATCTACATATCATGCTACTTTCGACTATAATTTATTCCTGATTTCTATTACTGTAAAAACGTGTGTAATTTGCATGTTTTTTTGTGTGTTAAAATTAAGTTTGAAGTTGGAGTGCACCATCCTCAATATCCAGGTTTTACGCTCACTTTCGCTCTCTGCATCCCTGGAATTTGTCATAGGAAAATTGAACGCTCAGTGTGTGCCACCTTGTGTATGAGATGAGAAGACTAGTTTTACCTTTTGATATACCTCAAAAAAATCTCGCAGTCACGTAAGGTAAAAAATAGACAGGCTTTGAATTTGGGCGTCTCTTCTGTGTAATCTTCAAAGGACAGGTATCAGCCTAGCTATTGGTCAGTTTTATTTTACCCGAGACCAATCAAACAGCTGTCTTTGTGCCTTCAATTTTGCTATGACATAGTCCAGGGGTGTAGAGAGTGAATGTGAGCGTAACTCCTGGAGTATCGAGGATGGGGGTGCACAAATTACATAGTTGTATGTTTTTACATAGTTACATAGATGTTTTGATTTTTTTGTTTTTTAAGAAAGATCATCGAATTGCATGGTCCGCCAATCTTGAAAAGATGGGATTTTCTCGGGATCCGTTTGTACACAGAATTTGCTGTCAGATGACCATTTATAACTATTTATTTTTAATTAATCATTAATAAAAGATGAAAAATAGATATTAGGGTCATAATAGGTGTCTTATTATAATTTTCAACTCAAGGTAGAAATCTATGATTAACTACACTATACATTATATATAATTACGTATATAAGGTTTGTGTAAGACAATGAATGTTTATGTAAGTTGGGTGCCGATATGCGCAGGTGTTCAGTCCGATGTTACGGTATACTTCAAACAAAACAAACATCGATATGCATCAGCATAAAAATCTCAAGTTATTAAGTTATAAACAATTACCACATTTAGTAAATAAATAATATGAGAAAGTAGATATTTGTGTCAAAGTTTTGTGTCGGCGGAGGTCAATTTTCCGGTCATTCTGTATATCATTTTTGAGAGAAAAAATGTATGTGCAAAATAGATACGGTAAGTAGAAGTTTTTTTCAGTATTTTCAGCCCAAAAACTACCTGCGCAAATTACAGAGGTTTTTACGGTAAGTTGAATTAGATTTGTGTCCAATGACAGCAAAATATATTATATTTTAATTATAACTTCCGACTTTATAGACTACGGAGTGTTAGTGTATTGGAGCGCAGCCAGGTTTAAGATACCTGAGGTTTTATTATCATGAAACAGTGTGTGGCTTCTAGGGCAGTTTGAAATACTGTAAAGTTCTGAAATTTCGCAGGTTTAATATTTCGCAGTTGTCAAAACTATGAAGTTCTGAGGGATTAAATTGTATGCAAACAGTAACCACGTAACAATATTGTGCCTAGAAAAGTCCTTTTATATTTTGATGGTATTATTTACTTAACCAGTGTTTAATAAAATAACGAAAAAAAAAATTTGAACTGCTGTCTTTTTTCCGTTATTCAGTAGTAAATGGGTAAACAGGTATTTTCTGTTATCTCTGTAAATTCACGGTATTGATATTAGCCGGGTGACGTTTTTCATTATAATAAAATTATATTTTGATGAGTATGATTATAAAATCATAAATTAATACATATCGTACAGGGAAGATACAAGTTTCACCAGAAACTAAACTTTACAGCTGGGCATTAAAGACAGCATTGACAATTTTCAACATCTTACCTCATTCACCCCTGAAATTTTATAATAAACTGTTCCAACCTTTGAATTGGAAGAGTTCATATATGTCTCCAGGGGTTAATGATTCAATATCTCTTTAACTCTTTAATATTTACGGGAACTATGGCCATGGTCCGATCTTTGACTTTAGGATCCTTGAAGTCGTCTCGCTGATTGGTGTCGAACGACATTCGGATGGGTCTGTTGAGTACCTCGTTCACGCCCCCTGGGGAGTCAGGCGGTCGCTTGGAAGATCTCGGGCGGGGCTGTTTTGCAGCCTTGAAAGTTGATTGGTAGTCAGTTTCGGGAAATTGAACCCTTTTGATTCTCCCATGCATTGGATTTCTTGGATGTCGGCGTTTGTGATGCCTGTAATTTAATTTGAATTATTTTTTTTAAATTAACTTTACTAGAATACATATATACCTGTGCAGGTTTGGGGAAAAAGCAGACCTGCCGTTTCTCACTACATGATTGTTTGAGGCAACTAATGTGAGACATCAGTTTTATTTTCACACTCAACAAAAAATTGCTTATTAGATTTCCATTTCAGAATCCCATCAGATTAGTGCAGAAGTTTCAGAAATATCTACATGTATGTTTTGAGAAAACACCACCCTTAGCAGTAAATATTTATAATAAGAAATGAAAAATTCAAGTGAAAGAAAACCTTTTGATAACTATTTTAATTGATTTTTTTTTGTGAACTGTCTTGGCATATTATCAGAAAGCACAAATAAAAACCACCCAAAAGATTCATGGGGGCTTTGATTTTAATTATTCAATATACAATATATTGTGTTGGTTACAAAGAGAATTGGTTCGACATATTCAGTGATGATATTTACCGATGGGATCAGGCGGAACTGATGTGAAATATACTTGTACAAACATATTTCCATATAAATGTATATAGATTTACATCACAGAAAACAGTTTTCAGCCAAATGTTTGTCAACTTTTTATCATGTTTGAATAAGGCAATCCAAAACCCATTAAAAACCAACGGTCCCTGAATTTCAGAATCAATACTCGAGAGTCCACGACCAACTGAAAATTAAATCCGTGGCATTAGGGAAGTGATGGTAAGTGGTCTGGTTTACTATCTGTACTTTGGAGAGCCATTTACATTTTAGGACGGGGATTTAATTTCTAAAGAGTAATTGCTTTTTAAAAATTTGTGCAAACAGTTCAAGTAGTTTTTATTTGTCATAGCTTCCAGAGGTTAAATGTATTCAAAAAAGGTAAACTTAATTAATACAAGTTTAGCATACCTGGTAGTAAAATACTCCCCAAGAAATATCTGTGGATGAAAAATCCATGTCGTAAGTTCAGCTATAGTTAATATATGTTCTCTGCTGAATTTTGTGAATATGAAAATAAGCCTGCGGAAAAGAGTTAAATAACGTATTTCCCTTGAAAAAGTTATATCAATTATTATGTTTAATAAATGTTAATGAGATGTTTCAATTCATCCATTCACGTCTGAATTTCTTAAAAAAAATAACCCATAAAATATGTATCTACCTATATAACAATTTAAAAAAATAAAAAAAATGGGGGTGGGGCAACATTCTTGCAACATCTAAGGGCGTATAAAGACGGCTGCTTTAATGAGGGAAACTCCAGTCCAAAAAGAAAGAGTAGGAAAGTGGGATCCCCATACCACTGCCAAAAACTGAAACTATTGAGCATTTGAAAATATTTTTCGGGCATGATTATAAATTTTGCTGTGATAAATCATTTCTAAAAAGAAATAATAACTTGCAGGACTTTTATGAGAAAAATTAAAAATCAAATTAACAAATTGCAATCAAAAACAGTGTTCCGAGACTAAAAATAATCAGTGGGGCTTGGCCAGGATTCGAACCCTGAACTTCAGATAGTAAAACCATTGATCTAATCAATTGAGCTACCTGGTCAATGAAAGTGTTCAGGTCCAGCAGTGCTACAGTGATATCCAAATGGAAGTTAAGGGGAGAGTATTGTATAAAGGAAAAAACATAGTGCATTGGGACAGGGTTCCTGAAATGTTTGGTATCAGAAGACACAGAGGAAAATTAAACCATTGGGTGGTCGGGTGGTGCAGTGGTTAGCGTGCTGGCCTTTCACCAAGGCGACAGGGTTCGATTCCCCAATCGGATGTATAAAGGTTTAGGGTCACCTGCCCGACCAAGTAAGTTTTCTCCTGGTTCTCCGGTTTCCTCCCATGCTTAGACCCCCCGCGCGCTTACATCTAGCTGGGCCAACAAGAGTGATTAATAATATAAGTTGAAATAACTTGTTTCATTATTGTTATAAAGTTTATTTAAAATTTAACCATAATTCTGCTGGGGAATTCTAAATATACCGTAGGTGATAAAATTTAGCAATATAAGTATGAGCAACCGTATAACGGGTTATTTACGCTGGCTTAAATTTTCATGATTTTGACCCAAAATTTGAAAATTAAGTTTATACATGGAATTATGATTTGGCGATCTATAGACATGTGGTAGAAAAATCCGACCGTAACATATGCTCTTTACATTTTCAAAATTAAAATGTAATGTTAGTGTTTTTTACCCTTTAATATGGGATGGGGCCTTTTTGTCTCATTTCGGATGGAAAATGTACTAGTTGGGAAGGAAATTTCAGGAATTGCAAATTTTGGGAATTACTAAGTATAAATTTATATAAAAACAGTTTCAATTAGGAATGGGAGCCATTTTCGGCCAAAAAAAGACCCAGGAGAAAGCACTATATGTAATATATTTGCATGGCTATTGATATGTAACAGATTTTCAATGAAGTTGCGTGTCAAAGAGAATCTCCCTTTAGCTTGATCAGTGGCGGTTAATGTAAAGTGTCCAGCTGGAGAGTCTGCAGTGGCTGGCTGTTACGGCCAAGGCAGACGAAAGGAAAATACGGTATTCATTTTTTTTAAGCTATAGCTTTTCCCACAATGAGGTATACCCTGGGATGCGCTCACTTGTTTAGCAACGTTGAGCGTGGTGACAGTGGCTGGATTGGTGCTTGCCCACATTCTATATTCGGTAGCAGTGTAATGTCTGGCCGACCCTTTTGTGTATCATGTAAGGCCATGCAGTTCCCAGTGGTTAGGGAAGGTGAATGTTTAGGTACATGTACACAGAGAAAACCCACGAGATTCCCCAGGACATGACTCGGGATGATGCTTCTTTGGACAGGGAATAGTTTGACTTCAGTAAAGGAAGAAGAGGGCAAAATTACTGCTTTAATTACAGGCAAACTAGCATTAACAGCAATGCGCTGTATTATGTATATAACCCTGTTGGATGGGTGTCCGCCCCAGTTCAATGTGACAGCTATAGCATTCCTTTTAGTTCTAATTCCTTTAATAGATTGGTGACTTGGACTTTCCAAATTAACCGTTGGCAGGTAGCATTATTAATACATGGGTCTGCCTCCAATCCTGGGTATGTTAATTATGATAGTCTTTGGGTGATTGCTAAGTACATACTGTAAAGAATGCTAGAGGGAATTTTAGTTCAGGATTAAGACATCTTGGGCGTCAAAGTCTGATGAAGTGGAGAATGTTGATCATGAGTCGCTGGTTTAATCTCCGGCAAAAGCATGCACACATTCTTCCTGCTTCATGGGAAATTAATAAATTGACAAAGCAGGCCATCAAGGTTTCTCCTGCCAAAATGCCAGAATTTTGATATGTTGGCAATCATTGTGACATCTACAATTTTATCTGTCACAATTCTGGTGTTGGCGACTGATTCAAAATATCTGGCTACTGCTGATAAAGCTGAAGTGTGCCATTTGAGTGTACCTTTCATCACTTAATGCCGACATGTCTGGTTGTTACATTATATTTTAATGTCATCATTTTATGATTTAGCCCTCCTCTCCCCCCCCCCCCCCCCCCCCCC